AGGGTTCTTTATTTTACTCCCCCCAATAAACCACAGAAATAAAAGGTTAAACTTTCCGATTCCTACTACACTACAAGAACCCAAAAAGTTTACAGCTTGGGTATTGGGGATCTTGGCTAGGTTCCTGAGTAAACCCTAATACGGGAACCCTTTTTTCGTCGTCTTCGGTTTTGATAAGGGGCCCTGAACTAAACAGGGCAAGAAGGGTACTACTCTATTTCTCCCCGTCTGCCTCCCTCCCTCTGTCGCGGCCTCTAAGTACACCGTATCACAGCAAGCCACGGTTCGTGAACCCTAAGCTTCGCTTCCCAAACCTTAGAGCTTAAATCAAGTCGCAAGCCCTCAACCACGAAATCCCTCAAGCCTGAAGATACTCCGAAACCCGAATCCCTAAATCCGACAGCCTGAACCCTTAAGTGACCCTAACCTCCCAAACCCCAGCCCTTTGTGAACCCTACAGCCTGAACCCTGAAACATATCAACCCTAAGCCCTAATCCCTAAACCCCAAACCCTTATAACCCTTAAAGCAACCCTTATAGGATCCCTTTAAACGAACCCCAAAGCAATGGAGCTGCGTATGGCTGGCCGCCATCATCGCGGAGCCATCCAGGAGAGCCGTACCCCGCCCAAATCGGAGGCCGCCCCAACCTCACAGCTTCATTAGTAGGGCCCGAAACCCTAAACTCTCAACCTTAAACATTAAACCCTAAATCCTAAACCCTGAATCCTAAAACCTAAAACCCTAAAGCCCTAAAACCCCTAAATCGAAACCGGTTGAGGTTTAGGGTCTTTCTTTTGGTATTAGAGCCTCAAGGTTTGCTTTGGTTTAAGGGTTTAGGGCTTAAGGTTGGATACTGCCCCCATACAGTAACAGTCTATAGTCGGGCTACTATTAAGGTACGAATTCCTAAGTCTTATATATTGCTAAGATTCTGCAACTGTAACTGAGTTGGGGCAGTACCCAAGCTTAAGGTTTAGAACTTTGGTGTTATAGGGTTTTGCCAGAGGGCCCAATACCCCTCAAATAGGTAAAGAACCTTGAACCCCAAAAAACTAAACCCCCTGTAATTTAAGGCAGATTCCTCAATTATGCGATACTTTGTTGTATTATCTGCGCTTCGAAGTGACCAGGGGGAAAAGCATAAACTGCTTTATCTTCTAAAAAGGTCCAAAAATGCAATAAAGTTTGGTACTCCCTAAAGCCCAAGGCCCTAAATCGTAAAACCCTAGCCCCTAAACCCCTGACTTTGAACCCTGAAGCCTAAAGCCTTGACACTAAACCCCTTAACCCTGAACCCAATTAATGGTAGTAGTAGCAGTAGTCGTAGTAGTAGTAGTAGTAGTAGTAGTAGTAGTAGTAGTAGTAGTAGTAGTAGTAGTATTATAGTAGTAGTCGTAGTAGTAGTAGTAGTAGTAGTAGTAGGAGTAGTAGGAGTAGTAGGAGTAGTAGTAGTAGTAGTAGTAGTAGTAGTAGTAGTAGTAGTAGGAGTAGTAGTAGTAGTAGTAGTAGTAGTAGTAGTAGTCGTAGTCGTAGTAGTAGCAGTAGTAGTAGCAGTAGTCGTGGTGGTAGTAGTAGTAGTAGTAGTACCCGAAGCTTGGATTGGGTCCGTTGAGCAAACGGGGCCTCGGCACGTCTGGACGGGTTTCGCTCCGGAATAGCGTCCAGGCTTAGGAAAATTAGGGGCCGCCACGGTTTAGGGTTTAGGGTTTAGGGGCCTTGATAAAGAGAATAGGGTTTTTGGAAAGTTGTTCTGTACTTGTACTTGGGGCCAAAAGAGAATGCTACTAGCAATTACTCCGACCCAGCTGCGCAGTCTCAGGCTGCCTCAGCACTTGCATTAAACCCTAAGGTGTATGAAATGGTTGTGTACGGCTTTACAATCAAGACTTTCTAGAGGAGCCCTAAACCCTCAACCCCTAAAATTCCCAAGACCTAAACCCTACAGAGCATCGTCTTTTTCTGCACCGAGTGTCCATAAGAAGTGTGGGGTGCCTCGACCCCCTGGTAGCCATCCACCCGACCTTCGCCAGCGAAGCATCTTAAAGAGGCGGCTATGCGGAGTTGGGTTTAGGGGTTTAGGGTGTAGGGATTTAGGGGTTTAGGGTTCGGGCTTAGGGCTTAGGGTTCAGGGATCAGGGCGGTTGAAAACTGGGGATACCTTTCTTGCGGAAGCTTAGAGAGCTTCATGGAGGTGATTCTGTAAGGGTTTATCTTACTCCCAAAATAAACCACAGAAAAGGTTAAACTTTCCGATTCCTACTAAACTATAAGAACCCAAAAAGTTTATAAAGGTTGGGCATTGGGGATCTTAGTTATGCGCTTGTATAAGGGAAGTTTATTGTAACGAGGGTTTTCCTCAAACTAGTCTTAAAAAAGCGTGTTTGGAAGATTTTGCAATAGGTTTTCCAGAGCTTCTACTAACTACTAGGGCTCCACGGGCTCCTTCAATTTTGTCCTACAGTAAACCCCATAAAGTTGGAAACCCGGTTAAGGCCAAATAGTGCTGGGATTCCTTATACATTACTCTTAAGGATTGAGGCTATCGGGTTTCCAACATTTTGGCTTCTACTGTAAACCCTAAACATTAATAACCCAAGCCAGCGGTCCTTGCGTGCGTCCCTAACTTCAAGACCCTCAAAGCCCAAACACTAACCCTAAGGCCCTAGGACTCTGCTACACTTATAGGTTTAGGGTTTAGGGTTTAGGGTTTAGGGTTTAGGATAGTATCATATACCCCCAAACCCTATTCAGGTTATCCAGGCCTCTATTATAGTACCCTTCTCGATCCCTTATGACAGCCCTTATAGACCCCTGTAAAGGAGCCCCTATAGATCCCTTTCAGCTCAGATACCTGTCTCCTCCGTCACGGGGTTGCTGGTTTGACGCCAGATTTGGTCGACCAGGCCGTCCTCCCCAGAGACTCCAATATCCCTTAATTAGGAATATTCCTTAAATTATAGTAGGACCCCTAATATGATTTAAGGAATACTCCTTAATTAAGGGATATTGGAGTCTCTGGGTCACGAGGCAAAGCGGGGTTTTTGTTTAAACTGTACTGGGTTTAGGCTTGCGGGTATAGCGTGTAGGCTTTAGGGTTTAGGCATCTGCAGCATCTGCACCGTGCAGCATGCTATGGCAGTCCTTCGGCCATCTCATCTTGAAGGTGAAAACCTTAGCAGAGCAAGAAATCACCCACTGCGCTCATCTCGCTCACCCAGATTTTGTAAATGTGTAGCAGTGAAGACATAGTAGTATCTCAGCCACGTGCAAACACATGCGCTCATAGGGAGTTTCCGAAAACAAGGGATACCTTATTTAAGGGTCCTCATCATAAGGATCCTACTATTTGGGGTACTATTTTAGGCTCCCCTAATTTTCGGAAACTCCCATACGCAGAACAGAAAGCGAGCCAGACATAGCTGAAGTGGTAGGTCGGTCTTACTTACCCTGGGCCTCCAAGTCTACGAAGAAGGTTTTAGGCTATATACCCAGAGACTCCAATATCCTTTATTTAGGGAATATGCCTAATTTTTGGTAAGATGCATAATCTGACTTAAGGTATATTGATTCATTTTAATGGATATTGCAGTCCGTGGATATTTGGAGAAACGGCGGCCACGGACCTTTTCCTCGCGTCTAGGCGGGCAAACCGGCTTGGCCACAAGGAGGTCCAGGATTTCTGGGTTTGGATTCGGGTTTCGGGTTTAGGATTAATGTCGGAGTTGATGAGCTTTGGGGATCCTAGGACTTGGATTGTAGTTTTCCTCGAGAAGCCTTTCTTTGTGCGGGCTACACCGGTTGGGCGCTTAGGGTTTGAAGCATCTCAGCTTTCGTTGGTCAACGCTGCCAAAACAGCGCCGAGCATGTTGGGCTCCTGCCGACTTGCACAACATGTCAAGGGAGAAGCGGCAAACCACCTGCAATGGTCTAACGTTTACGGTGGAGGGTTTGGGTTTAGGGGTTTTGGGTTTCGGGCCGGTTTCGGGCTCAAGAATGTGGTTTAAAAGCTGTCGGTTTACGGGTCTGTGGATAAGGGTTTAGGGATTTAAGGTGTGGCGTCTGATGACTGCACCCCTCACACCTCTTCGAGGCTCTCGCATGAAGCTCGTCAGCGCATCCTTATCATCATGATCACTGTTACAATTGGATCATTCCCTGTTCCGCATTACTATTGTTATTATCGGTGTGTTGTCAGCATTTGCATTCCCATCGATATTATCCATTATTATCACGATTATCATGAGTATCATGATTAGCATGCTTACCATGAATATAATTGTCTTATCATTATCACTACTTCTGCTGTCTATCCTGTCACGAACCATCCAAGCCTTCTGACACACTGAACAGCATCAATACACGGTGAAGCAAACCACAACCCTGAACCCTACAAGGGGATATCATTGCTCTTACTATTGTTATGATTGCTCTTAAGTCTTCCTATTAGCTGCTATTACTGCTCTTAGTAGGTATACCGCCCCCCACCCCCTACCATTCTATAACACCGCATCTCTCAGAGTAAGGACAGGACTGAGCCTCTACTCGCCAAGAACGGCTTCTCACAGGTGCCTCCTACATCGTAACACCCTTCAAGCCTAGCTCTACTGCCCTTCCTTTGCAAAGGCAGCACTCCATGTTTTCCTGGATGCCGGCTCGCTGGACGGTCAAATTCGAGATGCACTACCCCACAAGAAATCGCCCGCATTGTCGAGGCGTACTTCTACTATGCTTAAAGGATCATGGGACTTAGTAACTAGGGTTGTAATTAGGGTAACTATACTTACAACCCCAATTAGGGTACTTATAACCTTACTTACTAAGTCCCATGATCCTCCAAGTAGGGGCCTTAATAATTAGAATAGGGTTTTGGTGCCCATTAGACTCAGACTATATCACTATAATAAAGAACCCCCAAAGTAGTCTAGGTAATTCTTAAGGCCCCTCTATTATAATCACCGGGCTGAGGTGTCCCGATGTCACGGCTTGGAGTCAGAGTCGTCATACCCGAAAGTCCGGCTGGTTGGTTGGGATGAACGGAAAAGAAAGAGATGCCTGGATGCCGCCCAACAGCTGCACAAGTAGTCGGCTCTGCCAAGCAGCCTCACAAGCCTCGATAGCGGCACTACAGCCGATCACGTTCGGAGACTGCATCGTTGATAAAAGGTGTAGCGCGAGCTGCCATTGAAGGCCTCTCTTGCAGGTAGCTATGGCCGCACTGAAGCACAGCTCGTTCGGAAGCAGCTGAACTTCTTTCATGTCGGCCAGCAATTGCAACACAGCCTGCCAGTGCCCATCACGCTCGCAAGCACTGATAGCAGCACCAAAGCTTGTCAGATTCAGGTTCGTGTTTGTCTCTGACCTCATCATCGCCAGAAGATGTAGCGCCATGCTCCACTCACTGGCTTTTTCACAGGCACTCACAGCAGCTCCGAAGGTCACTTCATCAGGACACAGCTTGGCAGCAGGCAAATCGGCAAAAAGGCAAAGTGCCATTTGCCAGTGTCCGACTTTCTCACAGGAGCTGATTGCAGCATTAAAGCTGATAACATCCGGGGCCTGTACAAAGCTCCAGACATCTGCAAACAGCTGCAAAGCCATCTGCCATTGCCTTACTTGTCCAGATGTACAACTCGCAGGATTTAAGGTTTAGGGGTCATGGTTTTTTTGCGGGGGATAAAGGTGAATCTTCGGGATAATAGAGAGGCAATACGAGCCCAATGTCTTGTCCAGATGTACAACTCGCAGGATGTAAGGTTTAGGGGTCATGGTTTTCTTGCGGGGGATAAAGGTGAATCTTCGGGATAATAGAGAGGCAATACGAGCCCAATGTCACAAGGCTTGCTCTACCACCTTATTCTAATCTTGCAGGGGAAGGTTCACGGCTCCTAGCTTCAGGCTGTAGGGCTTAGAGCCTTAAACCCTAAGCCCTACACCCTAATTAAACAGTAAATCCTAAATCCTAAACCCTTAACCCTGAATCCTAAATCCTTAACCCTAAATCCTAAATCCTTAGCCCTAAACCCTAAACTAGGGTTCTCATATGCCAAGATGCCCTCCTCGCTCACAGGCGCTCATGGAAGCGTTGTAGGAGATCAGATCTGGCAGCAGCCCTACAGGGGCGTCGATTTCAAAGGCCCCAAACACAAATGCAGGGGCCTCTAGAGGTTCCTTTAAAGGGATCTTTAAAGAGCTACAAAAAGGGTTCTATAATGTCGGGGCCTTAATAATTAGAGTAGGGTTTGGGGGCTTGTTTTACTATAAGTATAGTGAGGAACCCCCAAACCCGATTCTAGTTATTAAGGCACCAACATTACTTATAGGTAGGGTTGGGTTGAGGGCTTAGGGTATAAGAAGCAATCCCACAAATCGGTACCTAGCCTAGCGATGGCATTGCTGCGAGCAGATGGAGTGACCTTTGCCAGTGTCCTCTTCGCTGGCAGGCGGTGATTGCCTAGGTTCCCCAGTTACCCTAAACCCTAAACCCGTAAACCCCAAACCTTAAGCCCTGAACCCCAGTTACCCGAAACCCTAAACCCTAACCCCCTCAACTCTAAACCGCCCAGAGTTTAGGGTTCCGGGTTTACGGCGCCTTTTGTTTGTGTCCTTAGACATCCCAGGGCGGCGCCGTGAAGCCTTCCCACATTTGACAAAGACGACTCGATTTCAGAGGCCCCATACTCTAAGATGGGGGGCCGTACTTAAAATAGGGGGTCCCTTTAAAGGGAGCCTTAACCAGACCCAAGAGCAGCCTAGGAGTAAAAAGGGTGCCCTTTTGGGTTAAAGGGGGTTATAAGGGATTATAAGGGCTCACTCTGGGTCCTAGCTAAAGAGCTGGGATCTATAATGAAGCCTAGTTGCAGAGTTGTAGCTGATCTGACTTGGCTGCATGTTTGCCCCGATGCTCTCCTCGAGCAGCTGCAGTGCGTCCTGTCATCCAAGATCTGTTTTTGGGGGGACTCCTTGTTCCTAGAGGCTGCGAACTGCGACTTCCATCCAAGATCTAGGGTTTTGGGATTAGGGTCAAGGGTTTAGAGTTTAGAAGTGAGGGGTTTGGGATTTAGGGGTTTAGGGGTTTCGGGTTCTACGGTTAAGAGTTTAGGGCGAAGGCTTAGTTAGGCTTGAGGGCTTAACGCTTAGAGGCTTAGAGATGAGGCTTAGGGTTCAGAGTGCAGGCTCTACCTATAGTCTCCATTGTAGTTCCTTTTTTTTGGTTTAACCAGTTTTATATCAAGGATCCTAAAAGGTAACCCCAAAAAGGAACTACAATGGAGACTATAGGTAGGGTCTACCAGAGATTAAGGCCGGGTTTCTCCCGCACCACCCCAACCCTCCCACTCCTTGCGAGACGGTTTGAGAATAGCGCCCCAACCCAGAAATCGCAAAACGCTACTTGGAGGCCCAGGGGACTTAGTAAGTAGGTTATAAGTAGGGTTATAATTTAGAGCCCTTATGGTCTGGTCAACCCCGTGCAGAACTTCATAAAGCCCTTGTATGGAGCGTTAAACCAGACAACCGTCACCGAAACTTATATTGGACCTTTACAAAGAAGAGCACCACCACCCTGACCTTGAACCCCCAAACCTAACTCCCAACTGCGGCTCTAACACCCTGAGCCCTGAATTATAGGGACCCTATGGGGATCCACTTATAGTTATTTTCAAACTACAGTAAATCCCATAGTGCTGGGATTCCCTATACATTGCTGTTAAGGATTGAGGCTATGGGGTTTCCAACTTTTGCCTGGGTCTGCTCCCCTCGGCCGAGGGCCGCGATCGCAGCCCCGAGAATGGTCTGATTCGGAGTCACCAGGAACTTGGCCATCTCCTCTGGGGCTTCGGGTGTGGGGTTTCGATTCTGACAAAGGGGCTCTTGCCTATTACAACGATTCTACAAGCGCTGTGACAAGGGTTTCGAAACCTTTCTGCTGGGAAAGAAGCTCCGCTCTTCCTCTTCACAAGTGGTGCAAAAACTGTATGCGAACATGTCGCATTGTCCGATACAGGTGGGTTTCCATGGGCACCAAGATAGCCCGAAAGCCTTATATAGTATGGTCTTCTGGCCCAAAAGCCTTAAGAAATGTGAGTCCTTAGATTCCTAAGGTTTTGGGACTTGGATCGAGGGGTCAACGTCTTGGGCTTCTGGGGTTTAATGCTGATGGCGTTCGTGAGGCCAAGGGTTCCAGCTTACATATAGCCGCATGTGTAAATGTACATACGGGTGGTTGTCAAAATTAAGGTCTCTTTTTGGGTAGCCTAAATATTAGGGGCCGTATTCTATATAATAAGGACCCAACAAGGGACCATAATTTTGACAACCACCCATATACAAGCAGCTTAGCTTCATAAGCTTTCCTGTTGTCTTACTGATATTGCAAGTTTTCAGCTCTGTGAGTCCGAAACCCTAAACCTCTCTTAATGGCTGTATGGTTCTAGGCTCGCCGACCCTAAACCCTTTACAATAAAACCCCAAACCCTAAACCCCGGGGGTGCGAAGGTCTTTCTTGGCTCCTCCTGCAGGAGACGAAGGGCCACAGCCCACTGCTCCCCCTTCTCGCAGGCACCTCGGCTTCTGTAGGGTTTAGGGCTCATAGGGTTTAGGGTTCAGGGTTTGGGGTTTGGGGTTTAGGGTTTAGGGTATAGGGACCTTAATTCAGGGGTTCCTTCAGGGGTAGGGCTCCGTTAAGGGTTCCTTTATAGGGGGGTCTATAAGGGATCTATAGTAGGGTTCTTTGTTCGGGCCTTAGCAATTAGAATAGGGTTTGTTTTCCAGTGCATCGAACCATTTTCGAGATATCCCAGACAAGCCCACCGTCAAAAGAGAACGCCAGCTCACATCTCACCCTCCACAGGTTCAGCATTCATTGTGACATCTCAACGATGGTCATCGGTTTAGAGTTTAGGGTTTAGGGTGTTACATACGCACAGATGGGTTTATTCATAGGTTTAAGAACTCGGCTAAGCCCTACACATTAAATCCTAAACCTTCATAAACCCTAACCCTAACCCCCCCAAAAAAAAAGTTCTCCCAGGCACTGATGGTCGCGCTGAAGGTGAACTTGTCAGGAGAGGCAAAGCCAAGAAGGACCGAGTAGACTTCCAGAGCCGCCTGCCAGCAAGCTCGTTCTCGGATTTGGGATTTAGGGACTGGGGTTTAGGAGTTCAGGCTTGTTTAGGGTTTAGGGTTTAGGGTTTAGGGTTTAGGGTTTAGGGTTTAGGGTTTAAGGGTTTAGGGTTTAGGGTTTAGGGTTTAGGGTTTAGGGTTTAGGGTTTAGGGTTTAGGGGTTTAGGGTTTAGGGGTTTAGGGTTTAGGGTTTAGCCTCAACCCCTTGAACCGTAGTTTCGGGCTTGGGATTTCTACCTGTAGGGCTTTGTACTTAGAGGCCCAGGGGCATTAGTAAGTAGGCTATAAGAAGGGTTATAAGTACCCTAAATGGAGTTACGCCCAATTATAACCCTACTTTTAACCTGCTTACTAAGTCCCCTGGCCCTCCAAGTACGCACCTGGGGGGCTCTTAGGGGTCGGAGGGATGTTGTGGAGTCTCGGGATGTCTGGGAATCTAAGTTTCGGGATCCAGAGAACCCCAAAACCCCTACGCCCTAAACCCTGAACATCCCTAAACCCTAACCTCTAAACTCTAAACTCCTAAAACCCCTAAATGCCCTATACTAAACTCGAAACATCCCTAAACCCTAACCTCTAAACCCTAAACCCCAGAACCCCTAACCTCCCGACACCCTGAGCTGCCTCCCACTGTCCGGACTTGGCGCAGGCACTAATAGCTGCATTCAGTGTGATAGCATCAGGCAGCACCTGGGGCTTAGAGCTTAGAGGTCGGGCGGGTATCGGGTTTAGGATCTAGAAATCGGCTGTAGGATTCGAGATTTCGCATTGAACCCGGCTACAAAAAGAAGCTGTAACGGATAACCTTTCCGGGATCCTTTTTCAACACATTGAGAAACCCGAACCACAAAAGTAAAGAAGACCAAACTACCTCGGTGTGGTGCATGTGATGCAGTAGCTGAAGAGCTTCTTGCCACTTCGCCGCCCTTTCACAGGACGTCACTGCGGAACTGTAGATGATCTGATTCGGCCAGAGCGTGGTGTGGAGCATGTCCGAAAGCAACTGGCACGCGTGCTCCCAGCGCCCCATGCGCGCGCACGCGTTGATAGCTCCTCCTATTACCTGTGTTCTGCGCCCCTCTGACCAACAAATCAAGATGTTCATAACCCATCGAGTTTATATTGAAATGAAGCTCAGAACGAACTCCGAAGCAACACCCAGTTACGATCTGGTTCGGCAGCACCCTGCATGCCGGCATAAATCGCAAGATGCTCAGAGACACCTGCCAGGGAACCCTGCACCGTAAACTCTGCACCCTACACCTTAAACCCTAAGCCGAAGCAATAACGTCGCAATCCTAAACCCTAAGCCTCAAACCCGAAACCCAAACCTACACACCTGCCAGGCGTGCGCCCTCCCCGAGCTGTTGATTAATGCGCCAAACTCTCGGGCATCTGATCCAAGTCGACAAGAAACCTGGGTTTTATTGTTTAGGGTTTAGGGTTTGGGGTTCGGGGTTTAGGGCTTACGGTTGTTCATGCTATTTTTTGCAAGGGCGCCTGAAAGGTATCTTAGGGGTTTCATAAGGTTTCAATCATTGTGCTTTTTGTAGTGTTGCTGAGGGTTTAGGGGTTTAGGGTTTCCAGGGTTTCATAGAGTTTATACTAGGTTCCGCAGCATCCACTTCATGCTAAGAGGATTGACAGCCGTCCGTAGCTTGCAAGGATACAGGGGTCTAGGGTTTACAATTTTGGATTTAGGGTAGTTGTCAAAATTAAGGTCCCCTTTTTGGGTACCCGAAATATTAGGTGCCGTACCATATTAAGGACCCAGCAAGGGACTATAATTTTGACAACCACCCAATTTAGTGTTCGACTATTGCGGAACCCAGAAGCCAAGAGATCTAGGGCAGTTTGCCAGTAGCTTTGCTTGCTCAGCGAAAGCACTGTGGCTCCACATTCTGGAGCGGCATGGCAGTCGTGCATGTTCCCAGAGAGACCAACACCCCTCAATTGAGGTAAGAAGCTTAAATCAACAACACCCCGAGAACAAAAGATTGATTTCTCAAATAAGAAAGATTGGGCTCTCTGGGCTACCGTTGAAGGGAAAAATTCCTTGAGCCCAAACTAGCAGCTGCTCTGTGTGCGTTCGAAGAGCATGCTGCCTTCCCAACTCCTAGGGTTCCTGTTGCCCAAATAATAGCTTACTAACCACCTCCAGTTACCAAAATAGTACGTTACTCACCAGATGTTATGCAACCCAGTAAAAATTAGTTTTGGATAGCCGGAGACCGAGACACTAGACCGAAGAGTAACCTAGGAATAAAAAAGGGTTCCCTTTTTGGTTTAAAGATTATAAGGGACCCTAGGTTTTAGAGGACCCTGCTCAAGCACCCTAAAGCCTAAGCATCATATGGGAGCTTCCGAAAACTGGGGACCTCAAAAGGACCCTATATTTAGGGTATAAGGGAACCTCAACCCTAAACAAGGGAAATACGGGTCTTCTCTGGGTCCTAGACAGAAAGCTAATATTGGGGTGTCGAATTTTATTTTTCACTTTTCTGTTTTGCCTTTTTTTTCCTTTGCCCTGGGCTCCTGCGTTCTTCGTCTTTGCCCAGGAAAACAACTCTATTCCCTGGGTTTCTCTGCATTTCCACCGCAAAACATCTCTTTTCCCTCTGTTAGCCTAGGAAAACTTCTGATTCCTTCTGTTTTCATACGAAAACCCTCTGTCTTCTCTGTATTCTACTAAGCACAAACACTTGGTTTCATTTGCATGTCCACAGGAAAACCTGTCTTTTCTTCTTTTTGGATAGGAGAACTTCTCTTTTATACGACAACCCTCCCATCTAGAATTCGAAATCTAACCCCCAACTTGCAGGCAGCCAAGAAGGAGGTGGGCCTGCATTCCAACAACGTGTGCTACCTGACCTACAGCTGGAACGAAAGCTCATGAAATTGATCGGAGGGTTGAGCTGATGGTGATGATGATGAAGCCATGGTGGTTATGTGGCGCTGTGATGATTGCGAGGGTGATGGTGGTGGTGACAACGACGGCGGCGGTGTTTTTGACGCTGGTGGCGGTGATGGCGCTGCTGGTTATGATGGACAAAACCAGCGCATGGTGCATCGTTCAAACGGTTAAGCTATCTCTGCTTGTAGTGTGGCGTCCCACACATCTTACACGCTTCTCACTTCGGACTCCAAAAAAGAACTTCCACTATCTGGCATTCTCCCAAGCCGCAATATGTCTAGCCTGGTAAAGAAATGTAAAAGAAGGCTGAATTACAATCAAACAACTCGTTTTGCACCCACATGTGTTTTCATCCCACACGAGCCCCAGCATAAAAGCTACTCCACAAGCTTCAAGGGTACACTCAAGCCACAAAACGAGAGTGTACGCAAGGTAAGGTAGTTGTAATGCAGCTGGTATCCGCCCGTGTTTTCTGCGTTCTTTTCTGGCTTCAAAGCTTTCAGGCGTGTTGGGGGTTGGGGCGGGGGAATTGCGTTCCCAATACTGTTTCCATTCCCCACCCCGCAGTCTGAACCTGTTCAACCCGTCGGAACTTAGGGTTTAGGGAACCTTTGTCATCAAAGGTGTCTAGAACGCAAATTTTAGGCCAGGAGGGCCAAGTTGAACGTCATAAACCGCTTCCTTTAGCGGCCTCGCTGGGCTTTGCATGCAACGACCCCAACTTGCCATGTCCTTGAGGCTTTGGGGCCAAAGCCTCTAAGAGAAGGTTGGGGGAAGGGTCCTTGCACCACGGGCGCATGGGAGCTGCACACCAAGTCGCGAATTAATGTGCTCCGACAGCGACTTGGTCATATTGCTCAAAAAAGCCAGCAGATTGTTGCAGGATTGCGTCCGAAAGCGACTAAAGCACTAACAGCAGTCCGCGCGGCTCACGTGCAACAAACAGGAACTAGACAAGTGGTAGGACACAGTGAAAAGTGTGTTGAGACATGACATTTGGCACTGTAGAAAGAAATTGAAGGCACCCAAATCTACTTCAGCCACGTTGAAGAAGTCAGGCAATGGAGTGATTGGGCATCGTCCCTTAGCAACTTCACATCGTTCATGGATTTGTGGTTTGTTGGCACGTTTCGGTACAGGAAGCAGATCCCACAAAGATCCATTCAAACATGCATGAAGCAAGAGGTGGCATGAGACCTGCGAAATCTAACTAGGAAGTGTAACGAACAACGCTGGACGAAGTGTAACGAATAGTGCTGGACATGAAATTCAGCACAAGGGGACTAAACCGCAATGAATGGCACCTCGTCGGCCTTCTCCTTGAAACCATGTGCCAGCTGCTTGGCTCTCGTAGCTCTGGCATTTCTTACCTTGCACACGGACAGAAACAACCATGCTAAATGCCTGTTGCCGACAACCATACAACGCTCAAGGCCTCCAAAAGTTGCTCGCACTCCTCCAACAGCACGAGAAACTTCAGCTCAACTTCTTCGAACACGCTGAAAGCGCACACGCCCTGAGCAGCATGCGAAGGGGGGTCTTCCAATAGCATGGTGTTTCACATTGGCACTGCGCAGGGAGCATGTTCAGAGCCTGTAACCATGTAAGCCTTATACGCGTGGAGCTCGACTAATGCCAACATGTCCGGATGCACAAAAGTGCTCAAGAGCTGCAGCGTGGACACCGGATGTCATTTCTGCCATGGTGGCTTGATTTCCGTTTTCTAAACCGAAGCATTGAGCCACCGCGGTAGCTCCGGGTTGGGGGCACTACGTTTTCCTGGGCGGGTAAGGCTGGGGGCCTGCAAGAATCATCAAGCTCTGCGGAAGCAAAGCACCAGGTGATTGTATTGACACGGCAGAGGACGGAGCCCCTGAAAAACACGAATACGGACGTGCGTCGGTAATCATAGGCTGCGCGTTCCCAATTCTGCACACATGTGATGTTCAAGATCCTCCTTCAGGACACCTGTTACAACACTTGGAAGGGTCTCACAAATAAACGGCACAATATGCGCAGGCTACCATGATCTGGCTAACGGCGCACCTCGTCCAATCTGTCTTGCATTCTGGTGACTTCCCTGACCACTTTGTCGGCCCTTGGATCAAATAAATACACTCGACACCATGGCGAAAGCCCCAACGCTTGCTGCAATCAAGACTCAACTGCACCTTTTGTGCGCTGAGGTTTGCCTGCCAGTAGCAAGACACACTGAGCATCAAATCGCTCTCACGGCAACCGCCAGCGCCAGCCACGGCGCTGAATTGCCCTCCTTCCGCCCCAATGGTTCGCATGCCGGATATTGCAGACGTAACTAGGGAAGTTGATCGAATGCTGTCCTGCATGCTTGGAAAGAAAGAACAAGTGACCCCATCGGTCGTGGAAAGGATGTTGATACTGTCACTGTGAACAGGCAAATGTGACCACCTCTGAACCGACATGCTTCGCTGGCTGAAGCTCTGATGCTTTATAACAGATCATGCTACAGCCCAGCCAACTAATGCCAAAGTGGCTTCCCATCAACGGTTAATATGGATCCAACACCAAACCAACCCACTGTTACTTGGTTCCTGGCAGCGTTGAAGAAATTGTGGGAGCTTTGCTTTCACTTCCGGTGCGGGACATGTCGAGTCGGGTATGATGCAGTTTTGCACTACGGCCAAAACAGGAATATGCAAGTCAAGACTTCCACAGAAACCCGACAAAGGGTTGGGCCTTCTTGGGAGAGCCGTCGTCACCCACCATGCGGCAGCGGAGCTCCGGCCCTCGAGCCCTCTAACTACTAGTAGCAGTAGTAGTACTAGTAGCAGTAGCAGTAGCAGTAGCAGTAGTAGCAGTAGTAGTAGTAGTAGTAGTAGTACTAGTAGCAGTAGTGGCGGATGAGAAAGCAGGGTGCTTGCACTTCGACGTGGATGCAAAGTGGTGTTCTGCATAGAGCCGCATGTCTGCACTGAGTTAGACAACGTCAGGCATGATTGTTTGGGAACCGAGACCCTCTCCTGCCAGTGGCAGCTCGGAGATATGATGTCTGCACGACAGATAGATCGTATATACATTACATGCTGGTAGATGTGCTTTACGTATGTATGTATGCACGTAGGTGTGTATGCATGTAGGTGTGTGTGTCTATATATACGTGCATATATAAAGCGAAAAGCACAACAAGACAGAAAACGAACACGACAAACAACAAGCAAAGAAAGCAACAAGAAGCGGAGCGTGAAGAAAAGACATAAAGAAATTGCAGAAAACAAAAAGCAAAGAAAGCAGCAGAAAGCGGAGTGAAAAGCAAATGCAGAAAACAAAAAGCAACAAGTAAAAGAACAAAAACAACAGAAAGCAAAAGCAACAATCACAACAAAGCAACAAGCAAAGAAAGCAGCAAGCGGCAGAAAGCGGAGCGCAAAGCAAACGCATGGAGAACCACCGCCTTTAACCGAGGCCCCCAAAGGAAAAAAAAAGGCAAAGAAAAAAAAATGGTCAAGAAAAATAGGGTCCCCTAATATTGAGGCCCCTAATGTAAAACCCTACTATAGATATCCCTTCTAAGACCCCCTTATACTTGGAAGGGCAGGGGACTTAGTAAGTAGGTTACTTGAGAGCTGGTCACGAAAGCTAGAAGCACGAGGTCCGGTGCTGAGCTCTGCAAAGCGATGTGCACGACAGTAGCGGAGGGAAAGTTTGGGCCGGTGAAGGGTGCAGGCGTTGCTCGTTCATTTAACTCTTGAGAAAGTAATGTGCGAACGACAACTAGCGGTAACTCTGGAGAGAAGACCGCACTTCAGTCGCCGAACGTCAGACACAAACAAAACCAAGGGACCTTGGGGGAGGGGGGGACCTCATGATAGGGGGGGGGGCCCCCGTGTGCGGCTTAAATGGGGTATTATCGCCAGCTGAAACTGTGGGTTTTCACGCCTATAGTATTTAATATAGACAGGCAGATGGCGATTATATCCTGGGTCTGTTCGGTGGATGGTCCCGGGCCCGAATTAAATAATTTAAATAATTTAAATAATTTTAAATCCTGGGGAGGGGGTCTGGGGGGGGTTCCGGGGCCCCGGGACCCTCCCCCAGGATTTAAATTATTTAAATTATTTAAATTATTTAAATTATTTAAATTATTAATTGGGGCCGGGAATTAAATAATTTAAATAATTTAAATAATTTAAATCCTGGGGAGGGGGTCTGGGGGGGGTTCCGGGGCCCCGGGACCCTCCCCCAGGATTTAAATTATTTAAATTATTTAAATTATTTAAATTGGGGCCGGGAATTAAATAATTTAAATAATTTAAATAATTTAAACAATTTAAATAATTAAAATAATTTAAATCCTGGGGAGGGGGTCTGGGGGGGGTTCCGGGGCCCCGGGACCCTCCCCCAGGATTTAAATTATTTAAATTATTTAAATTATTTAATTGGGGCCGGGAATTAAATAATTTAAATAATTTAAATCCGGGGGCCTCCCCCATATTTAAATTATTTAAATTATTTAATTGGGCCCGGGAATTAAATAATTTAAATAATTTAAATAATTTAAATCCTGGGGAGGGGGTCTGGGGGGGGTTCCGGGGCCCCGGGACCCTCCCCCAGGATTTAAATTATTTAAATTATTTAAATTATTTAAATTATTTAATTGGGGCCGGGAATTAAATAATTTAAATAATTTAAATAATTTAAATTTAAATAATTTAAATAATTTAAATCCTGGGGAGGGGGTCTGGGGGGGGTTCCGGGGCCCCGGGACCCTCCCCCAGGATTTAAATTATTTAAATTATTTAAATTATTTAATTGGGGCCGGGAATTAAATAATTTAAATAATTTAAATAATTTAAATCCTGGGGAGGGGGTCTGGGGGGGGTTCCGGGGCCCCGGGACCCTCCCCCAGGATTTAAATTATTTAAATTATTTAAATTATTTAAATTATTTAAATTGGGGCCGGGAATTAAATAATTTAAATAATTTAAATAAATAATTTAAATAATTTAAATAATTTAAATCCTGGGGAGGGGGTCTGGGGGGGGTTCCGGGGCCCCGGGACCCTCCCCCAGGATTTAAATTATTTAAATTATTTTTAAATTATTTAATTGGGGCCGGGAATTAAATAATTTAAATAATTTAAATCCGGGGGCCTCCCCCATATTTAAATTATTTAAATT